TTAACCCAATGAGGAAGTTGGCTCCTTGTGTTAGAAGTAGAGGCGTGTGAGAGAAATTTCTGTTGATTTTTTGGTTTTAGCTTTGCCTTTAGGAAACTACACAGTTTCAAAGCCAAAAGAGCCATCAAGGCTACAAAGGAGGTTGGTTTCCATTTCCTGCTGTGTAAGAGCCTATTTACTGTCTCTTCCAAAGTACTGAAGGATTCCATGGGGGGAGGCGGGGGAATCAATATATGACTTCTGAAAGCAAATGTAAATTGAAACTGTTGTGGGCATTTATTTTCTTTCTTACATGAAATCTGCTTTTGAGTGTGATACAAAAACCTGACTAATTTGTTCTGATGATTGGGAGACCCAATGCACAGTATCAGATTTTGCAGATTATGTAAACAAGCATGCAAACAAACATGATAAAGTAAATGCATAGCATGTTCATTTATAATGTACTTTTTAAATTTTAAATTCAAGGATATTATGTCAAACTACTGAATTGCACAATGAAAAATACTCTTGAGAAGGTCCTGGCCTATATTACCCTACAAAATTAATGGTCCATTTTGATCAATTTCACAGTCATAGGCTTTTAAAAATAATAAATACCATGATTTCAGCTATTTAAATCTGAAAGGTCATGGTGGTGTAATTGTAGAGATTTTGATCCAAAAAGAAGTTGAGGTATGGTCACAAGGTTATTATCAGAGGGTGGGGTAGCTGTTGCAGTACTGGTACCCTTACTTCTGTCCTGCTGCTGGGGGTACTGCTGCCTTCAGAAACTGGACAGCTGTAGACAGGTGGTTGCTAGCCGGACATCCGCCTCTGAAGACAGAGCCACAGTCAGCAGCAGTGCAGAAGTAATAATGGCATGGTATGGTACTTCCATCTTTACTTCTGCGCTGCTGTCTGCAGAGCTGAGCCCTAAGTCAGCAGCTGCCACTCTGGATGCCCAGCTCTGAAGTCAGTGTAGAAGTAAGGATGGCAATACTGCAAACCCTCCCCCTCAAAAAAACCTTATGACCCCCCCAACTCTCTTTCAAGTTAGGACCCCCTATTTGAGAAATGCTGGTCTCCTACCCATAAAATTTGTATAGTATTGGGTAAAAGCAAACAGAAGACCAGATTTCAAAGGGGGGGGGGGCAGCGGCGACCAGATTTCACGGTCCATGATGTGTTTGTCATGGTTGGGAATTTTTGGTAGGGCCCTAATTAAACAGGCGCATTTGCTTATTACTGGTAGACTGTACCCCATACCTACGAAAAGATCATTTTGAGCATAGCTGAATGTATTAATGGCATTTGTTTCCCACATTTTCTGAGGCTTTTTGGTTGTCTCCCTCTCTCTCTATAAATAGATCAGGGCAGTAATCTAATCAGTTATATTTCTAAGGTTCCTATCATGAGTTACCTGAGCTTCTAATGCTGCCCTGCTGGGCACCTTTGTCACTGACTTCACTGAGTGCAAGATCAGGACCCAAGTGTGGTGCAACATGAAATGTAGCATGAAGCATGCTCCAAGACAGTCTTTCTGTTTCCTCCCTTTCCCATTCCTTCTCCATCCTCTTCTTCTTTTCTTTATTCTAGTGAATATGTCTTTTTCCTTATTCCCCCTTTCATCTAGCATGGGGGATAGAAGGGCATGGCGCTAGTGTAAAAAGACCTTGAATAGGTGGTGAATATAGTGAGGCTGTGGCTCAGTGTCAAACCATGCAAAACAGTAAGGTATTCTGTCATTTGGAATATTTTGTCCAGTCATCCAGGAACCTTATCCTAGGCTATTTTAGTTGAAGTTTTTCTGCAGAGGACAGCTGCTTTGATGGATCACAGATGGATGTTGCCTGTTCCCAGTCCATTAAGGGCCCTGTTGATCTGGAGTACGACAGAAATGTATAAGGCACCAGTGGCGTTTGCAGAACAATGGTGCAATTTGTTCTGATGTGTCTTTGTTGCTCAAAAGACAGGCAGCTATGTGACATACTAGTTGTAGTTTTCACTTGGTGTCCCCCCCCCCCCATCTCCTAGTGAGAATGATTAATGGAAGTGAGCTGTGTGAATCACAGCACATATAGTTTTGTCCGAGAGGAAAGGGTGGAATTTCCTGTCTTATCACAAATGGTAGAAAGTGTTCCTCATAACTGTTGAGAATGCTGTGGCCCTGGGAGCTGTGAAGAGTCCAGTATAACCCGGAGGAGTCATACAAATCTGATGACCAGTGATCAGATATCCTTAGTCAAAGGTTGATGTCAATATTACAGCAAATCCTTCTAGGGATTCTCTCTTCCTTCCAGCATCTTTCTTCCAGGAGAGCTGTTTCTGTGCTATGTCTCTTTCTGAAATCTGATTGTCAAGAGTCCATAACATAGGAAGAAGCCACATGCTGCATGAGTTTAGTTGTTACAATCTTCTCATTGGTTTTACTCAGGTAGAGCAAGCTGGAAATAGGGCAGTAGTGTTTCTACAAGTTTCCACACAATTGGTGGGACAATAGCATATTTCAAACTGGCTACAACCATGCTATCTTCTGAAAGATGATGTCTGCCATCAGGGGACATGATTTCCCTTTGTTTTCTCTGGATCATTCTAATAATCCTGCTCTTAAAATATTCTAATATTTTCTTTTAAAATGTGTGCCAGCTTGCTTACATTTTTCTTAAACTTTTTGCTTTAAGGGAAACTTTGGTTTTTATTCTGCTGTGTAAGTAGGATAGGATTTGTTGGGGCAGAGAATATGTGTGCAAATGTGCTATTAATAGGAGATGCAGCTTTAGTATATAGTTAAGACTGCATAATGATTTACATTCTAATCCCCTGTGATTTACTTGCTTATAACTTTCTGAAACATTTACACTTCGGGGTGAAATTTGCTGGCCTTAATATCTGTCTAAAGATGAATACATTTGGAATATTTCAGCAAAACTGGTTCAGTCATTCTCGAATATCAGCAGCATGAAAAATACATTTCCCATTCTAAACTAAATTATTGAAACCTTTCTACAACTTAATCAGCAGAAGGTTGAAAAGTGAAATCTGGCATAATAGTAGCTAACCCTTGTTGAGCAGAAGGGCTTTCGCTTGTTCCAGAGGAAATTACTTAGGATTTGGCTGAGTTATAAGCTTTTGAAAATTGCATAGTGAGCATGAGCAGTACATTATTTTGCTAAGCTTGTAAAGTGTGTGGCTACAGAAGGATTTGCTGTGCATGCATGGATGACTAATTTTGCTGTGGAATGAAAAGTTGAGTAGTAGTGACATATGTTACTGTACACCAGTGAGGTCACTGCAGAGGCTGAGGAAGGTCCTTGAAGATCTTGAGGTTGTGAAGGAAACAAGGAAAGAGTTGCATGGACTATGTTGGGGCAGGGGGTATGGAAGGTATGGTATTTTGTAGTTCAGACCCTGTAGACTTTGCAAGGTTAAAAGAGATTAGGAAGGCTCCATATTTTAACACTTTAGACACCAGTGTGCAATGTTTTCTATGAAAAACAATTCAGTCAAGAGTACTTTGTTATTGGGCCTTCTGTTAAATCTTTGTATATACTTTCTGTCTCAAACTGTGGCAGATCTGATCTGTTTAGTGAGGGAACCTGCCAGGGGCATAATGCTGGCATACAGGTGCCTACCTCAGCTTGCTCCCAGCTTGTGTCATCATGGATGTGGCAAGCACTGCCCTCCATGAGGGCAATCACTGTCTTCTGTGGCTGCTCTAAACATTGAGGACCAGGCCAATGAAGAACTGATCCCAGGATTGGCCCGAGCTCCATTGCACCTCCTCTCCTCACTGCCTTCAACATGCTTTGGGGACACCTAAGAATCTGGTTCATAATGTCTATACGGCTCTCTGCAGCCTATACCTGTTAACAAGTGTATCTCATTCCAAGGGATATCAATTATCTTGTTCCAAAAGTTCCACATAAATTGAGCATCTCACTCAGTTTTATTGCTGAAAATTATTTACTTCCAAAACCAAGAATCATGAAATTGAATGTACAGAGTCATTTACACTAAGTGGATAAATCTCTTTGCATGATTTTAAGTTTCCTGAATAAATAATAGCTTGTGTTCCTTAGTTTGTGGGTCTGTAAACACTGCATTCAGAGGTGTGATTGCATCACATGTAGACATACCTGAACTAGGTTTAAGCTAGCTAGTACGAGTACCAATAGCAGTGAAGCATGACAACATGGACTGCCACATGGGCTACCTGACCTATCGTGGATGGACGTGAACAGCCTACACTGAATCCAAAATTGTTGCAGCTTTATCGCTACTGAGATTGTGCTAGCTAGATTAAAGCTAGTTTGGGTTTATCAACTTGTGCTGTAATCACACCTGCAAATGGAGTGTAGACATACCCATTGTTACATATTATATCCCACAGTCAGTCCTTGGCAGGTGCTTTGACTGAAATCTTCAGATGCTGAACACTACATCATAGGCAGCCATCCTTCATATGAAAGGATCACCTTTCAGACTCCATGCCTGCATAGTCTTCAGCCTCTCTGATGAGACTGTCAACAAAGTCTCCGCTCTGGTGAGCAACAGACAGGGGCAGATTTTTACACTCCTTTTCTAATGGCAGTTTCTGTTCCTGGCAATGTAACAGAGCTTTTGTCAGCCCTAATGCTGGTACATTGCCACATTCCCATACTGCTTGGAGTCATGTCTTCCAGAAACTGGCAACAGATACTGCTGCCACTGGGGCAGATGGACTCACAGACGGATAGCAGGAGCAGGATTGGAAGAGGCTGCTGGCATCAATAGACAGAAGAATCATAGAAATATGGGACTCATCAGTACATGCAGCAATAAACTGGAATAAAGTTAAAAAAATTGATTCGGCAATAAAATAAAGTTTAAAAAATTTGGTGAGATGATAGAGCAAACCTTTAAAAATCATGAATATTGTTAATAACTTGGACACTGTACTGATGATATATATGCTGTTTGTTTGTTTTGTTCTTTGCAGTTTCACATTCTTGTTTCTTGTCATCTTACTGTGAGAGCAGATGGCAGCCAGAGCTGAACAACAGGAGTCCGGTGGCACCAAAAGAGGCTCAGCAAGTGACCAATTGATGACAAACAGAAGTCACCAGATCTCAGTGAGAACCAGGAACTGTGGCAGCTGTCTTGGGCTGCTTAGGAGTGGAGTCAAGGTAAGCAGTGGCCCCAGCAGAAGGCAAGGGAACAGTGCCAGAAAGAGATGTTCCAAAAGCAACAATCCAAAGTCGAGCTTATAGGGGGATCCAGTCTGCCGTTTCCTGCTGGCAGACAAGGAAGTGGGAGCCCTATACTAATCCCCTGCTAGAGGGGTTTCACGTTTAAGGTTGGAGACTATCTGAAAAGATTCCTTATCTATTTGAATAAGCGTCAGTGCAAGGGGACTCCGTGGCTGTCACGAAATCAGTCTCTAAACCGAATGAGTTACACCGAGGCCGTTTCCTCGTGTAAAGATAGTGTAGGGCAGAGGGGATTACAGCGAGTGCCAGCGCAACAACGGGTCAAGCAGGTAAATGTCAAGGAGAAAAAGATGAGGATCCAGTAGGAAAGGATTCTTGTGGTAAAGGACCCGCACCGCTTTCTGCACTGGCGTCCCCCTTAGGCAACTCCCCGCCCTTTCTCCAGGAATATGCCCCGAGCGTGCACACGGGGCCAGCCCTTCGGCTAGCGGGGCGGGGGGGCCCCCGGCGGTTCACCCCCCCGC